GAGAGAGAGAGAGAGAGAGTCTCTCAACTTTATTTTTGTTGGCAGATGAAAGCGCATCCTAGCTCTTTCCGTGCGAGGTACCCCGGGCCCGCGAGGCTGCGAGGCAGACCTCGAAAGGGCGCAGGGCTCTTGCGCGCGACTCTCAGGCAGAAGGCCCCACCAGGAAACGGCCCGGCCCATGCCCTGCCTCGCTGCGCCTTCGACGGCGCCATAGGCGGACAACGACGGCGATGGCAACCCACAGCGCTGGATGGGCCTTGAGGTTTTGTTTCCAGCCAAAACGGCGTCGGAATGCGCAAAACCACAATGGCCAACAATCGATAGGAAGAGCAGCTGGCGGAAGGCAAAATCAAAGCGAGGAGTCAGAGTGGTGCATTTGTTTTTCCCCCGCCGCTTGAATTCGATTCAGGAGTATCCGCCGCCGACTACGTTGGATAAACAGAGGCTCTGTAGACCAGCTGGACGTGGGAGGCGACCTGACGCAAATTTCTGCAGTCATCCGCCTGCGCAACTCTCCGCGAGAATCCTGGCCCGACCTGGGCAAAAGCGCCGTTGAGGTGGGCCGCTGTCGGCGGCAGGTGCGCCGCGCCGCCGTTGGGGGCAGCAGCCGGGTGCTGGGCCGGGGCCTGGACGTAGGGCTCCCTGGGCTGCTGGTAGGACTGGGGCACCTCAGAGTTGGAGGAAGCAATGGTCTGTTCTTTGTCTCCCTTCCTCTCCTCCCTGGGCCGGCGGCAAAGGGCACTGGCTCAAGCCTCGTCAAGAGACTCGCCGTTTTAAAGAAAGCAAAGGCCCATCTTGGTGGTGGAAATTGGACTGTTCTGACGAGATTCGATTGGCAGGGGCCGGCCAGCATGGGAGCCTCAAAAACTCTCTGGAATTCAACTGCAGGGCGGCCACGGAACCCCCTGGCTCTGTGAGGTTCGTGCCGGTTGCAGACGATGGCCAAGATCGAGATCTCCCAGAACTCGGACCTCGGCGGAAAAGGCAATGCGTTCTCGCAGATGCAATGTCCCAACAGTTGCCTGTGTTCGGATGCCTGAGCGTCCGTGGAAAGGGGCCGGAAAGCCGTCGAGATGTGCCGGTTGTTATCAACAGCCGTGCCAGCGCAAGCTTTCATGTCCTGATACTCTGCTTCTTTTAGGCTTTCTCGGCTTTGTCACTCAAGCGAAGGGGGGCTCTTGCCTGGATCAAAGGCAGCACCACAGCCAGAAACGCGTGCTCGCTGTCCAATCCCAGGAGGCCCTGCCGCTGAACATGAGAATTGCTCGTCTCTTCCTGCTCTCTTTTTCCAATCCTTACAAGCCTTACTGGACCTTTTTGGGTCCCACAACTCCGCACCCAACTGTTGAAAAATACCGTCATCTCCGCTGCACAGCTTTCGAACTAGCAGTCCTCGGAGCGGTCCACGAAGCCTTTGGCTTCGCTGCGGATTCCTTCAGCTCGATTGACTTGTGCCTGATGCAACACATGCTATCATAGTGAAGCGTTCGCTTCTCCTGATCATGGCATACGATGGGCCTGGTGAGGATGAAATCTAATCATCATGGCAATGACCATGATGAGAATGATGATGAAGAAGAAGATGATGTTGTTGATGATGATGATGATGATGAAGTGGGAACGAACGACTTACAGGAGTTGTGATTACGGAAACGCTGAGGATGAGGCGGAGAAGGCGGGGAGTATGAGTAGGAGGAGGAGGAGGAGGAGGAGGAGAATCGGTACCATGTTTTTTCCCCTGTGAAAGGATCCTCTGCATGCAAGTTTACCCCTTTCTTGAAAGCTCCACATGGTGTCCCATAAGCAGGGCCAAGAGGGCAGCCGGATGCTCGTTGGCCCGCAATGGGCACAAAGGGGCACTATAGGAGTTGTACATGAACTCGTGTCGATCCTGTGCCCAGTCTTGCTTCCTAGCAGGCATCGTTTCCGATCCTCGCAGGCCCATCATCCTTCGACGTCAATGAATTTTATGAAGAAGCAGAATATGATGATGACGATGACGAGGACGACGACGACGACGATTGACATGATCATCAGCATTCTGGTTGGTTTTTTTTCCGCACTTTCCGGCACCAATTCTTCGCAAACCCTCAAGTTCGATTCAGTGCCGAAAGCGCGCTTCGGTTTGTCGGGGGAAGCCACGGCGGGGGTGAGGCTCTGGCCTGCAGCTGCACACGCTTCTGCTTCTCCTGGCCGGGCAGCCAAGGCTGCGAGGGGCGGATCAATTCTCGGATCGGACGTCCTCCAGGGCCGACTTCTGCAGAAGCTGCCGCCGCTTCGTCTCGATGAGCTCCCTCCGCAGGCAGAGCTACGCAAGGCCAGGCAGGCGATTGCTCTTTTGAATGTGCAACACACGTCATGCTCCGTGCTGCGCTTTTTGTTGAGCGCCGGTATACCGATATGCATGCTCCCAGCGCTAGGGTGCGCTCACTGAGCCGCTGACCTTAAGTGGTCCATCTCGTTATTCACCTGGCCATGGGCTACGGCGACGCAGCTTTCGCTGCGCGTCCCGAAGAGCTTAGGCAGCCGGGCGATGGCCCGCTGAGCTTCCCCCCTCTGCGTGATTTCCTTAGTGCCAGCGCTGCCATGTTGTCGCTGAGTGCCAGCCTTCCGAAAACTCACCACTACACCCGGAACTCGCCCGTCCTTGTCCGCTTCGTGGAAGGTTTCCAACAGCACCTGGCAGGAACATCAGAGGAGGTCGCCCTGGCTCGCGCGACCACCGCCAAACTTGGGCGGCCTCGGCGCTCGTGATGCGCTGGCTCAGCCGGTCGATCCAGGCCTGGAGAGTCTCCTCTTCAGCCAAGTTTAAGGCTCCCTCCCCCTCCTGCTGTGCACCCTCCGGCACATTCCGCGACGTGTCGGGTCCTTCCCGGTCTGAACTGCCTTGTCCAAGTTCGTCTTTTGGTGATCTCGATGTTCGCCGAAGATCGAACAGTGTGAGCCTGGGCTCTCTCTTCTTAGAAGCACGCTTACCAAAAAACATTCCAAGAGTTCACGTGGGCTCAGGAGGGCGGCAGACAGGAGTTCGGCATTCCAGGCAATAGAAATCCTTGGCCGAGCGCCAAAAGGGCGGTGAAAGTTGATCGGCATGCCTCTGTGAAGTCTGTGTGCGTGCAGAGTGAGCTCCCAACTAAGCTCTGGGAGTGCTCCTGGCAGACCATCCTGCAGAAAGCAGGGCACCGGGCAAAAGGCGACTCTGGCTTAGGCTGCACCATTCGTCGTCCTGGAGGAGACTTGGCCGGCCTAAACACCGAAAAGCTCCAGGAGGCGGCCCCCTTCTCCCGACTCTTTCCCCTAAAGGGCCCCAGGCGGCATTCCGGAGGTCAACGATCTGGTGGCTGCGGAAGTAGCCTGACAGAGATCGAAGCTTTCGATGTGCCGTGCAGACCGTGCAAAAGGCCGCCTCTGGAGTGCGTGGCTTGCACGCAGTCCTGCAAAAAAAAATCTCTTGTGACACGACATCTTAGGCTTTGGGAACAACTCCTCGCACAGAACTCCATCGCACGTCAGGCATCGCTGTGAGGCCAGTTTTTCCTCAAAGTGGCTGTCGCTTCCGCCCGCATTTGACATGCGTCTTCCCTCCCCGCAGATCACTTTCGAAAATGAGGGGAAGCCAGGAGTCAGAAGAGGCTTAAGAGCTGGGGTGCACCCCAGATCGTCGGCGACACCCAACACGGAATGTCAGCCCCGTAAAGTTGCACAGCACGGCACAGCACGGCCTCGCAGAGCCCGCACTTTGGCGGCGCTTCGTCGTCCTTCGACAAGGGCTCTGAGCTCTAACGTTGGATGGTGCGAGTTACAGAAAATGCTTCCTTCGTCTGCTGAAATGTCTCCACCACGAGCTTCAAGACGCGGTCCTGGCACTGAAAGTCTCACGTCGAGTGGCCAGCTCAGAGGCTGCTGTCTACTCGCAAGTAGAAGCATGGACAGTGACACCCGCAGGTTTGTGTCGCGAGCCCTCTCACAAGCTACTCTCCCGGCAGCAACATGGCCTAACAACGAACGCAGAGAAAGCACATGTACACTGGATCTGTTCGAGCTGCGACGTCTTCTAAGGAGCTGCGATGCATGACAACAGTACTGAAGGACCGAGGTATACCGAGGTGTCACATGCACTTTGCTGCACAAGAGTGAGAACCGTGAGGGCGCTTTCTTTCGTCGTTTTCCAACATGTTTCCGACCCAGAAGATTCATGCCTAAATGTCTGGAGGCCTCTTGGGGTCTTAAACTCACCCTCGGGCTTGGGCTTCCTTGGCTTCCCTTCCCCTACAGTCTCTACAGGCCCCACAGGCGCGCACATACCGTCGTTTTGAGGACGAGGACGACGACCGGCACTCTGAGGTCAGCGCCACCTTGACTCCTGCTTCCGAGATCGCTGTCTGCTCCTTGAATCAGACAATACTCCGGATTCGAAGCGCGCGAGGCTACGGCTACGGTTCGAGGCAGCAACGCCGCAAACAGGACACGGGAACTGCGAGCCCAGTGAGCTTTCCAGGTGAGCAGCCTGGCTGCTAAGGCTCCGAGGACACGTGGAGTCTGACAGAAACGGGAGACTTCCGTCCGAGGGACGCAGACGTGATGGGAGCACTCCAAGGTCACCGGGTCCTTGGTCGACTCCAAGTACTAGGGCCCCCGTAGTTACTACGGCCCTGCCCAAGCAACTGGCTCTTAAAGTTTCCTGGCAGATGGGGCATCGCAGCTCGATTTCCATCTGCCTGTGAGGTCTCTTAGTGTGTCGTCGGGCGTGGCAATAGAGATCGAGTAGAGTGTATGCACTTGCTCTCTCTTTGTGTGACTGTGATTCTCTCGCATGGGAACACGGGGGAAAGCTTGCTCGAGCAGAAAGAACGCATGCAGAGACGGCATTCTACCCTTGATCAACAAACGCGCACTCTTTCTTCAAAGGCTCTAAATATCTTAATCCTGATTTAAGGCGAATTAAGAGGTTCATTCATAAATCAAATAATAGGGATCTATAGTAAATAACATGGTTTCTTTATTATGGTAAGTTAAATAAAATCCCCTAACAAGAACCCAGCATCCAGTCTACTTCTGAGGCCACATCTCGAGAACGTTCTGAGCTCCACGTTCATTGAGGGGGTTCGACAAAGTGCATACTGAGATTGAGGGGTTTCCGAACACATATAAATATAAACATATATATATACACATATGCAAAATTGAAAGAACCGACTTCCACCGAAGCCGTAAGCTGCTTGTTTATATCGCGTCTGAATGTTACAGCAGGTTATCTACATGGCCTTTTTGCGCTCATCCATGGTCCGCCTTAACACAAGCATAATGGTAGCTCGCACTCACGTCAGCATTTTGTCCATGTCCCCCTTTCGGCTTCTGGTCTTGGAGTCTTGGCAGGGAAGGACTTCAGCCCTTCTGCTTAATTTCTGTGCAGACACTTGGTCAATTGTCCAGGAGCCAAGCCCGGGCTCTATTCTCTGCGAAGCTCTGGGTATGGACACAGCCCAGCCGGCCATTCTCGTCGCGCTTCCTCGAGCTCGGAAAGGGCCTCCTGTCGTCCTCTGCTCACCGAAGCCCGATCGGCCGATCGGCCGGTGAGCTGAAGTTGCAGAAGCTGCAGGGAAGGCACGGCACTCAGACTCAGCGTCACTCGGCAGCCCGCTTCAAGCCTCGCCTTCCTGGGCCAAGATCCAAAATAAAAATAAGCGAGGGGCGAGGGGCGAAGAGCGCTGAGGCTCAAATGTCACCACTCTACCACTCTATACCGCCTGTAGCACTTCACTTAACTTCACTTCCTTGCCTGCGCTTTGGGAACGAGCTTTCGCCTTGGCTTTGGGTTTGCCCTGCGAAGTGCAACAAGGTGCAAGAAGCCGCACCCACGAAAAAACAAAAAAAGGCGCTGTCATCTGGCCTCCTCTCTTCCCGCCTCAGAAGAGCCGTGCAGACCCTCGACCGCTCTTCGCAATGCTCCGTGTTGGCTCTGGGGACTTTGCTCGGTCTGGAGGTCCGGAAGCACTGCGTTTCAGGCCTTGCTTTCCTCGTCCGGCACAACAACAGTCACAACAGCACAACTAGGTCATCGGCACGTGCAAAGTCCCGCGCCTTTGGAGACCTTTGCATTCTTGGCCTTGGCTTTCTGGATCTTCGCCTGCTGAATGAAAGCCCTATTAGCCCTGCATCAGCTGAACCGCGGTGGAGCTGCCTTCTCCTTTTCCTCTGCATCACAGGCAGCCTGCCACTCACTTCATCAAAACCCCCCAGGATACCGCTTGAAAAGCTAGCGCTTCAACTTGTGACCCACACCACCAAAAACCTTTGAGGTCCCCAACACAGTCCCAAGAAAACCCCAAGACAACCCCAACCAAATCCCAGCGGTCCCCGGTTGAAGGATTGTCAAGGCTGAGCACTAATAATCCTGGGGCTATGATGCAGTGCGCTCGCAGCTGCTGTAGGGTTGATCTTGCTGAGTCATCGGCTGCATCACGCTCATCCAGCGCGACTTCCAAAGCTTGCAGATCCTCCACGGTGACATGGTGACCATGTTGCGTGGATTGGAGAGCCACATGGCCTCCAGCCAAAGATCTGAAGGCTTCTTCTTCTGCAGCTCTTTTAGCTCCCTGGCCTTAGAGGCAAAGCTCGGCAGGCAAGGAACCCGACGCAAACAAACATGGCGACTCGGCCTTGACCTCGTGCTCCTGCATAAGCTTGGCCACCTTCTCAGCCGTGAGAGTGGAGATCGGCATGCCGACCAGGTATTCGAAGTCCCTGCAGATGCTTGAAGAGCTTGACTAGGTGATTCTTGCTCTGGTGCTTAGGCGCTCCCTTTCTTTGGCCTTACGGCTTTCTTGGTGACATCTGCAGAGGTGTCCTGGTCCTCCTCCTGTAAGAAGGACGCAACAAACTGGCACAGCTGTTGCAGGGGTCCTTATGGCCTGGCCTCCTCGCTGCCTTCTTCCTCTTCGGCCTCCTCCTGCAAGATCGGAGGTCGCTTGGGCTGTCGGGTCGGGGCCCCATGGGGGCCCATGGGGCAGCGGATCGCTTGGTCGGCGTTGCGCGTCCTTTTGCCAGCGGGGATATGTACACTTCGAGACGCCCCCCGAAAGCAAGGATCTCTCGCAGGGCAGAGCACAGGGGCAGAGCAGCTGCGGAGTTTTCCGCAGCCACGGAGCGCGCTCTCTCGCTGTACAGAGTGGCGCCACTGAGAGTGGCCTGTTCGGGGCCCGCACGGCCCGTACTCGAATTACTTACTACCTGGCCGAGGGCCCTCGAAGGGGGCGACAGCGCGCCCATCAGGGCGCCAAGGACAAAGGACGCTTTTTCTCACCCTCCGCGCTTCTGGACTGCCTGCAACCAGGCTTTTTTGTCAGATGGGGATCTGAGATGACTCGACATGACATGTCGCCTTCAGAAAACGCTTGCCGTCGGCAATCGTTGCAGTTAGGTCTGTGCCGAATCCCAAGGCCTTCCATTCGGCAAGGGCTTCGGCAAGCGCGCGAACCGCGAGTCGTGATGAACACTCTCCCGGGGACCCCGACGAGGATTTGCAGGAACTCTGAGAACCAAGCGCTCGGGCGCAGCAGCGCCTCTGACAGGGGGAAAGCCCAGAGGAGAGAGCCCTTTTTGGCTGCTTTTTTTGCTTGCGGGGCCCCGCACGCGGAGCGCACGCGGAGCGCCTCGCCGAGGGTCTTGGAAAGGCGCTGGAGCCAGTGCGAGGTGGGCGCGATGATCGCCTGCGGCAGGGCAACTTAGAAAGGCAAGAGGATTGGGCTCAGAGAGTTCTCTCTTTTTTGGTGGTGGCGCAGAGGCAGAGTCCGGGGGCCTCGGTCTTCTTGGAGTCGACTGGGAGCTCCTGCAGAGAGAGCCTGCTTCAAAGGTGGAACTCAAAGGGACGGACGGGCGCGCGATTTTTAAGAGACACACTCAGACTCCACAAAGAGACCCTTGTTTTTGGCCTTCGCCCCAATGGCCTTGGTGCCTTGGGAGCCATGACGAGAGTCCGCTAACATCCCCAAACCAAAGAGACAACTTACACAGCCTTTGACACCTGCAGAGCTCTAGCGGCTATCTGTCCGACAGGCAAGGCTTCCGGACTGCAAGAGATTGAAGCGAAAGTGCGGACCGTACAGAGCAAACGTGAGAACTGGGAATCCACAGGATACACTACTGCCGGGAGATCTTCATGCAACTCCATCCTTCCATCAGAGAAAGAGCAAGTCTGTCGCCGAACGCCCTAAGGCCCAACTGGTTGCGAAAAACCCTGCGACCACCCACCTCTACCCCTGCAGGCGAGCAGATCACAAAGGAGAGACTTCTTCACTGCGGTGCGGCTTCACCAAAGCATCCGCAGAAACACGCTGTGCTTCGGGCATTCTTCGGTGGCGGCATCACCCAGGCAGGCGTCGCGATGCACGAACCATCAAGCTGCCTACCGAGATCACAGATCCATGCTCTTTGAGCCCTGCTTTGAGCCCTAAGCGTGCCTTGGGCCGCCTTTGAGGCAAGCCCGGCTGCAGTAGCAATTCCTTGGTGCACTGACCCCTGGCCGCCCCTGGCCCCTCTCACTCTCACGAAGCGGCGCGTCCAATCCTCAGCAGAGCGTCTCCAGAAGCACCTCCACCTCTTCTTCCATCGTCTGCAAGCAGTGGCAGCACCTACACCAACAACACACGAAGATCACACAGACGCACAGAGAGAGACCTTGTGGGTGCGGAGGAAATCAGAAAACAAATTCGAAAACGGATCGGACGATATCGGAAAACACCGGACCAAATCATAAAACAAATCGGAAAAACGGACAGCCGAAATCAGGAAAAAGGACGCACAAAAATCAGAAAACCAGACGGGCAATATCGGAAAACACGACGGACCGTATCAGAAAAAAGGGCGGCCGAAAATGAGACAACAGGACAAACGAAAAGCAAAAAGAGCCACTGAAATGGCGTGACGGGCTAACTCGAGTGAGAATTCCGATTTGTGGCCAAAACCGAGGAGTGAAAGGACTGCGGCCTTCCTTCAAAGGAGCGCGGCCTTCCTTCACCTCTCGGTTTGTGAAAGCAGCGCGGCCTTCCTTCACCTCTCGGTTTGTGGCCAAAACCGAGGGGTGAAAGGAGCGCGGCCCTCATTCACCTCTCGGTTTGTGGCCAAAACCGAGGGGTGAAAGGAGCGCGGCCTTCTTTCACCTCTCGGTTTGCGGCCAAAACCGATTGGTGAAAGGAGCGCGGCCTTCCTTCACCTCTCGGCTTGTGGCCAAAACCGAGGGGTGAATGGAGCGCGGCCTTCCTTCACTTTTCGGCTTGTGGCCAAAACCGAGGGGTGAAAGGAGCGCGGCCTTCCTTCACCTCTCGGTTTGTGGCCAAAACCGAGGTGAAAAGGAGCGCGGCCTTCCTTCACCTCGCGGTTT